TTGACATGACGGTTAAAACAAGATAAAACCGTCAATTGTCAAAAACTTTCAACCCAACCTAATCATGGTATTTTTTTTTAAAGTGCTTGAAAATATTTTTTGAGTACTTGAAAAGTGCTTACTTTTTGTTGAATAATTTGGATTGTTGAATAATTACAGACATCATCAATCGATGCAGAAAATTGCTCAATCATGAGGACAAAATTTGGCTCTTAAGTGGTTATGAGCTTGTTTTTTAATCAAACATTTAATGGAAAGAACTGATAAAAGAAAATTTATGCCTGTTTTTCAAAACTAATTTCAAAAAACCTTGAAAAAACGCCGAAATCGTTTCTATATTTATTACTATATATGTCAATTACACGAATCTTAAATTTTTCGATTTATTGATTTCTTAAAGAAATTTTTCTTTTTATCAAAACATGCGGAAAATAACGTTCAAATACTTATTTATAAAATTATAGGCATAGTTTGTGTACTGTAAAGATAAAAAAAAGTTATTTTTTCCTCAAATAAAAAGTTGAAAATCACTTGTAAAGCAGTTTTTTAAAAGGAGACAAAATGTTATTAATTGTCGGTTTTTCAAAATGTTTTACACGTAAAATGTGTGTTTTTTAATTATGAAGGCAAATTGATATTGTTTGCCTGACGCTAAGTAATTATGAACTGTTATCAATTAATATAAAAACACAATTGATTGCGGCCGCTGAAAGCTAAAATGTTTTCTTCGGTGGCGTTTTCCACCAAAGGTTGTATAAACTCAATTAATTAATCGGTCCAAAAAATTACTCTCTATCAATGAACTAGTACTTAAAGAACTTAAATCTATGGTAGCTTTAAGTACACCATTTAAGTACAACAGCCCGTTGTAAGCCTGGGGAATCATGATGATGAAGGCTTCACCATTTCATGACCATCGCCTTGATTTTGGTAACGTGGTCAGCATTGTGCACAGGCCGCGTTTTCTTCCCCGACGAGCTGAGACCACCCATCGATTTGAAGCAGGGTGGGCTCCACAAGTCGCCACTGGGTATCGAACTCCAATCCATCCCTTTGACAGCCTTAACCACTGAGCCATCGCGGCTCCTGTGGTAGTGTTAGAAACACAAAATTATAACTAAATTTTTCATTCATTCGCAAAAACAGGATATCTCATTAAAAGTTTGGACAAACCACTGGTCTGTCCAGATTTTTGTGGGTTGTGATTTTTTAACTTAAAAAATGAACGTGTCAAGAAATAAAAAAATGTGATCTGTATTTTTCTTTAACAATTATAAATTCAGGATAAATTCCCACTGTTTAATAGAGAAGGGTTGAATAAAGGTATTTTCATTAAAATTCATGACGTTACTTTTTTTTTTCGTGCAGAACATGAATTATTGGCCAGTCACGATCATTCTTGTCGTTAATGACCTGAATGCATTTTTAGTCATGGGTTTTCTTTCTTCTTTGCAAAAAAGAAATTTCTAATGAATGACTGCAGATGCACCTATTGAAGCACGTTATATTTCTCTGATATTAATTATTATTATTTTAATTTATTATTTTTTTTTTGTTGAAGTTTTTAGGACACATGTTTATGTTGCTTGAAATGCGAGAAAAATAAATTTATATTGAACTATTTTTGAAATTGTGTTTAACAGTTATTTAGTTTTATGTTAATGATTTTGTGTTCGAAACCAACTCGTTTTTTTCTCTCTACACAGGTTTTTTAAAAATTACAGAAATCTGAAGTCTAGTTTGCTTCATCTAGACGCCCTAAGTTATTTCGGCATAGGGTTTAAATTTGGCCTAAAAATTTGAATTTTAAGCGAGTAGCCGGTGAACTTCGAGCCGTGATAGCTCAGGGGATTGAGCGCTTGCTTTCCAATGAGGTGAACCGGGTTCGAATCCCGGCAATGGTTGGTCTATTCGAATGCCGCAACCGGCTCGCAACGTCCACCGTGCCGACATAAAATATCCTCAGTGGTAGACGGATCATGGGATAGAGTCCCCTTGTCGTCAGGATGACCTTGGGAGGTTTTGGTGGTTCTCCTCTCCATGTCACGCAAATGTGGGTTAGTTCCATCAAAAAGTCCTCCACGAAGACAAATGTCTCCTATTGCTTGATCCAGGCCCTTGTCTTCTGGATTGGGTTCAAAATTACAAGGCAACGGAGTAAATTGGGTCGGCTGTTCAACGACGGTTGTAAAAAACATAAGTCGGAGACCGATATTGATGGGTCCTTTTCATTTAATAGCCACTTTTCCCCCTTGGATTAAATTTTTATTTATTTATTTATTTTAAAGTTTATATTTGAAGTAATGTGCGACTATAAAAATTTAATTCAACAATAAAAATAATATAAATATATGACAAAATCTAGTTAATCATGCTGACTTTGGAGATCTTTATTTAAAAATATTTTGGAAGGGAAAATAATCTATACCGTGAATGATCGAAATCGAGAGAATGTCGACTTTCACCGGTGAATGTCCGAAATATTAATTAAATCCGATTTGATATTAATTTATTCATTTACATTCTTATATTGATTCGAATGTAAAGAAACAAACATCATTTGAAATACAAAACATAAAGTTGTTAAGGAAAAAAAAAAAAAAAGAAAAGGCGAGAAACAAAACTCGAAAAAACCACAAAAGCTGAGAGAGAGAAAAAAAGAAAAGAAAAATAGAATAAGAAAAATCCCTGTGGCCGAGAGGTAAATCATGTTAAATTGCATTTCCACGCTTTATGGAGAGGTTGGAAGGAACCCATGTCGTTAACAAGGGAATCATCATTCAAATGAATAGGACAAGATTCCGGGGCATCAAGATGAGCTGATGTGACTGGGGTGGAACTGCATTGTCGAAATTGAATATGCGTTCAAGATTCAAAGAAGCATTTGAAGATTTTTCAAATTCTTGATAACGTACATATATCTGTTAAATTCCAAATTTTAAAGCGCTTTCAGTTTGTCCGATGTAGCCAAGGTCGCCGCACTGACAAGGAATGTGCCCCCAGCGATTACCAAAGCTAATAGGATCTGACTTAAATTTGATTTTGTGAACAGCCCTGAAAATTATTTAAAAACCAAAACGGGAGAGTATACTAGCAATTTTATATCAGGTGAAAAAGAACAATAAAGTAGCAAGTTTTCTTCAAGGACTTAAAGAAGAGGAGTATTCTGGTTATTTAATAACTTATTCAGTAAATAAATAATCAATTATGGGTTGAATGAAAATCTCTTATCTTAGATTGTATGGATGGTGTTGAATGAGGTAGTTTTTGATTTAGATGTGCGACATCGTCTCCTGGACTTGGTTGAATTTGTCTAAGCCAAAGGAGGATCAGCGACAACTACGTAAAATCTGTTGCAGGTTAAAAAAATCATTATTGGTTTAAAAAAAAAAAAAAAACACTCCTAACTCACGGAACTCCTGTGACCTTTCCACGGAACTCTAGGGTTCCGCAGAACATCTTTAGGGAACCGTTGCTCCAGAAATCTGCTATTTGCTTTCTATTATCAACAACCACCACCACAGAAAGAAATATTTTCTTCTTATTTCTTTTTTGTTTTGTTTTTCTATTCCCTTATCAACTTCTAAAGAACAAAATAGCAGGCATTTTACAGAGCCTATATACTGCCTGCATTCGTTCAGGCTAATTATGAATACTAAAATGTCGTTACCGTCTCTTATCGGAATTTCTGTCTTTCATGCTCTATACCCCACTCTGTATAAAAAAATAAAAGGGATCATGAAAACAAATTTTTTTTAAATTAACACACGTATTCAGAACTAATTTGTTTTTAAGGTTTCACTGCAATTTAAAAGTATTTTTGCTCTGAGTTTCTACCATTTTGCATCATAAGCATCCAACAGTCGTTCATGTCCACCAGATGTCAATCAAAATGACATTCTTAGTATGGATAACGAAGGAAGAATTTTGTGCCTCTTAAATAATCTGGCTTAGGTGTATTTAAATATTAAGCAAGATTTGTATCGCTGTCATTGCCATCCTTCCCATAAAGAGTTAATTTGAACACTATAAAGCACTTTTCTTTTGAAAGTTTATATTCGATAAGTCTTTGATTAGAACTTTTATGCTAAAGTAACAATATTTTGTATTCTACACTGTGGAATAAAGAAAAATGCCATTATCATCCTTCTTAAAATGTATAAACATATGAATGGTAATGACAGGCTGAGGATGGTGTTAACAGAGAATACAACGGATTTCTTTTTTACAATCTAAATTTGGAACATTGAATTTTATATATCATTCATTTTGACAGTCTTTTTTTTTTTGGTAATAATTTTGCATTTCAATATTTTATTTTATTCGAATTTTAATGGAAACTCGTGTTCCTAAGTATTATTATTTTTTTTTTTTAAATATTTTTGGTACTGTTGCGTTTTTGTATGTTTTTTTTAAAAATTTTTATTTATTTTTGATTACTTAAAATTGTTGCACTATTTATTTATTTATTTTTTTGCCTTCTGGGGATACATTTTTATTCATTTGAAATAGGATTGAGTTTAAGGCTGTTTTATCGAGGGCTCTGTTGTCGCGTGAGCCTTTTTTTTTAATGAATAACAGGCTATTTTTATAACTGCTGTGAGTTTGCAACAGTTATTCATGACCGCTAGGTCATGTTTGACCCATCCTTAGCCGACATTATTATCTAAGTTAATTCTGAAAATGATGTAAAAACATCAATATGGAAAAAAGACGCATTTTTGTAGACATGAAAAGCGTTTGCTATGCGGACAATTTTCCCGATGCTGTATTATCTGGGTAAATACAGCCCAGCAAATTTTTAAAAATTTGCAGAAATTGAAAATCAATCATTGATTTTGATTACTTTTATCTAGATCTCACCAAGTTGACGATTTTTAAAAAAGTTAATTTACACACGTATGTGTGACAATAAAAAAAATAATAAATAAATGTGTAATTTATTATTATTCTGAATAACAGCTTTTTTTTTTAATGGAAATGTTTTTCTTTCATTTCAGACATCCAAGAATTTTATGAAATCACACTTTTAGACGATACAAAAAGTATTCAACAGAAGACGGCAGAAACATTACAGATAGCCAGCAAATGGGAAAACAGTCCGCCTCTTGCTGGTATCACTCAAAACAACGAGGTTTGTAACCCATTCTTTCTGATGCTCCAAATACAAGCAAAAATATATTTCTATATTCTTTTAATGATGAAAAACAGTGTAATTAATATTAAATAAATTTGTCAGATTATCGGAATTGCATTTGCTCTAAAATAAAAAAATTTAAAAAAGTAGTTTTAATTTTTTTTTCTCTCATTGACATTCAAAAGTTTATTGAATAATTGATTTTGTAAATGAAAGATATTTCCTTGATGCATGACTGTTTCTCTTAAAGCTAAATCACTGCAAATAAGTGCAAATTTGAAAAATTATTGTTTAGAAATGAGTAGTATTTGGAGGATTTTACCTTTAACGCAGAAAAAAACACTGGTGTTTGTTTCATGCTGTATTTCATAACCATAATTTATTAAAATGATAAATATAATATTTTTCTCTAATTCTGATCTATATTAAAACCAATTAACTTTTCACATAGACAATCTCTTTGTAATGGTGTTCAAATAGAGGGGGGAACCAAAAAATATTATTTTTTTTAAAAAGTGAGAACATTTTAGCAAATGTTGTCCAATATATTAGACGCTGAGTCTCAAAAGTTTAATAGTGATTGCGATTTTGTTCAACCATTTTGTTCGATCTAAATACAGTATACAGAGATGCCAACTTGCTCCGGACANCTTCGCTTAAAAAGAAAATAAATTAATAAATTCAAGGGAATTTTTTTTTTACCTTTAATTAATTAAAAGTGTTTTTAGTTATTTTCAATTAATACACATAAAATGATAAATTTTAACATATTGTGTAACATTTTTATTGTGTATTTCTTACATATTTGTCATAAAATAAAATCGATTCACTCAAGTAATAAAATATTTAGAACTTATATTTATGTGTCCTAAAACTGTCTGAAAAGCAACTTGTATTTGTCATTGTCATTAAAAATTCCAATTGAAAAGGTTAAAACCAATTAACTTTTCACATAGACAATCTCTTTGTAATGGTGTACAAATAGAGGGGGGGGGGAAACCAAAAAATATTATTTTTTATCAAAAGTGAGAACATTTTAGCAAATGTTGTCCAATATATTAGACGCTGAGTCTCAAAAGTTTAATAGTGATTGCGATTTTGTTCAACCATTTTGTTCGATCTAAATACAGTATACAGAGATGCCAACTTGCTCCGGACAGCAAATATATATTTTAAAGTGGTAGTTTATCAATTGTGATTCTTGGTTTAATAAATTAAGTTTAGTAGATTTTTATCCACCATTATTTCTAAATAATTCGTAGGTTTATATCTTGGCCAAAGAATACCTAAGAATACCGTGTTCTTTGTTCGCCAAGGTTTATATAATTCACCACTTTATAGTAGTCATGACATGCTACACCTCCTTAAAAGCAAGTAAGAATAGTCAAATATTTGCAAAATTTACTTTGTAGGGCAATTCCACAAAAGTGTCAACTTTTAAGTGAATTTTTTTTTTTTATGAATTGCATATTTTAATTTTAAAAATATGTTCTAAAATAGCCAAAGTCTACATATTGCCGTTTCATTTTTGATAATTTTAAATTTTTTGAATCTGGCAGCATTTTAAAGTAATCACATGGCTGACAAGTGAATTGTTCACATTTGTGCTCAAATTGTTTTCTTGAAAAATACTTATAAAATAAAAGAAATCTATCTTTCTATTACAATATTTTGATAAAAATATGCATATAGAACAGAATTTAAACATTTTAAGTTTAATATATAAAATAAAAGTAACTTCTTTTACGTCATTCCGTCACATGTCTTAATAATGCAAAAATTTCCTGAGAACGAAGATAAGATGTGACATTGGCAAGTTAGATATAAAACCTCTTCAGAGACAACCTAATTTTCAAAATGTTGAAATTTTTACTAATTCTTATATAAATATTAATCCTGTTTATCTGTTACATTCTGTTTATCATTTACATATTAATAAAACATTTTTTAAATGAAGGCTTTCTTCTACTAAACTTTTTGTCATTCCGTTACTGTCATTCCGTCACAGCAAATAGATGTTAATAACTGCAAGCCAACATGAGGTTAATTTTCCAAATTCACATTTTACATTGCTTATCCATTATACTAAAAGTATAAAATAGTTCAGAAAAATAATAGCTGCAAAATTCGCAGAGGCTACCAGTTCTAAGCGGCATGCCAAAAGCTTGGTTGCCAAAATGTCATTCCGTCACGCAAATAAAAAGTTCGTAAAATTAAAAGTAAGAAAGATAGAAAATCCGGTTTTTTTAGTTTATGAAGCGCATTATGCCAATAATAATGATATGCATGAGAAATTTTTATTTGCAATTAGATACATAGAGACTTCAATTAATTGTTATTTTGCAAGTCAAAATTTCATTCCGTCACATATGGAATTGCCCTGTAGTTATTTACCGCTTTTTTGATTATTTTGGCGTGTCCGTTGGCATCTCTGACGCTAAAAAAATTTCAAGATAGCGAATTTTCAAGATAACTAGTTCAGAACTAAATATGTTCTAAAAAGTAAAAAAATATATTCCGAAATATTACTCTAAAAAGTTAGAGTCATGAAACATAACTTCTGATAAATATGTATAAATAATGATAGTTGACTACAAGTCTAAATACGGTAATGATAATTTTATTTAAAAAAAAAAAAATTAAAAAAAGAGCCAAAAATAATTGTTCATTATATAGAAAATAATTGGTTAACAATAAACTTACATTGTTATTTTTCTGAAAAAATTTATGACATATTTCGCAAATTATTCGACTTAGCAAGGTTTTGAGAAGAAACTCTTCGACATAGGAATTCGAATTAGCGTTATGTGGATTTGTAATGCCGAGCGAAAAATATTTTTTTTGACAAGGCAAGGTTTTCGAGATATAGAAGTTCGAAATATCGAGAGACTGTAATAACCTTGTACATTTTAGTTCAAACTAACAGCAGCTGAGTATTGAAATGTTTTTGGTCATTTGACCTTTTGTTATGAGTTATAAAAAGAAAGAAAAAGAAGCGCGTGACTCAAAACTATTACGGACTTCTGCAACTTATTTTGGCATTGTTCTTTATTAAGTAACGACCCACTCACATTCCTTGTTTTTTTTAAGAAATACTCCATTTCGTCGTTTACCTCAAAATCGAAAATTTCTTGTACAATTATTTAAATGTTTTTTATTTTTATTTCTATTCATATATTTTATAAAATCCGTAGTTTAAAATGAATTTTTAATCACTTTTACTTCCAGCTACTGAAAGATATTAAATGAATTTTGCTACATTGTTTTTCTTAGCTGTTGATCTCTGATAACCAGCATAAATTTGATTCCACTAACAAGGGAAACTAGGGAAGTGTGACTCGCCAATTTTGAAATAAACTAGTGGGATGTATGCCTTATGAGGAATAATTTTAGGGGGCAACATTCGTTTCGGCCCATAGAGTGTCCTATGAGAGATAAAAAATAATTAAGTATGTAGAAAAATCGGTATTTCATTACTTCAATGCAGACTATTAGTTATTGTAATTATCTCATACTCCAATTAATTTTGTGCTACNTGATAAATATGTATAAATAATGATAGTTGACTACAAGTCTAAATACGGTAATGATAATTTTATTTAAAAAAAAAAAAATTAAAAAAAGAGCCAAAAATAATTGTTCATTATATAGAAAATAATTGGTTAACAATAAACTTACATTGTTATTTTTCTGAAAAAATTTATGACATATTTCGCAAATTATTCGACTTAGCAAGGTTTTGAGAAGAAACTCTTCGACATAGGAATTCGAATTAGCGTTATGTGGATTTGTAATGCCGAGCGAAAAATATTTTTTTTGACAAGGCAAGGTTTTCGAGATATAGAAGTTCGAAATATCGAGAGACTGTAATAACCTTGTACATTTTAGTTCAAACTAACAGCAGCTGAGTATTGAAATGTTTTTGGTCATTTGACCTTTTGTTATGAGTTATAAAAAGAAAGAAAAAGAAGCGCGTGACTCAAAACTATTACGGACTTCTGCAACTTATTTTGGCATTGTTCTTTATTAAGTAACGACCCACTCACATTCCTTGTTTTTTTTAAGAAATACTCCATTTCGTCGTTTACCTCAAAATCGAAAATTTCTTGTACAATTATTTAAATGTTTTTTTATTTCTATTCATATATTTTATAAAATCCGTAGTTTAAAATGAATTTTTAATCACTTTTACTTCCAGCTACTGAAAGATATTAAATGAATTTTGCTACATTGTTTTTCTTTGCTGTTGATCTCTGATAACCAGCATACATTTGATTCCACTAAGCTTTCGCACTGTTAAAGTTATGGCAAATAATAATAATATGTTATTTGAGTCTAGCGTTTCACGTGCAAAACGAGAAACACCAGAAAAACATCTTGCAACAAGCTAAAAATTAAAATATAGGAGTGTTATGTAACTAAGAAGCCTTGTAATGGCTTTGAATTCTTGAAGTCGATATTTTCACAAAAACACAGAACTTACAAAATATATAATTATTGTAAAGAATAAATTTTCTCAATCGTAATTACAAAATATGTAATTATATTATTTTTATCTAAGAATTAATTTTTTCAATCGTAATGAAATGATCGACTTGAAAAATAATCATCTGTACTTAATTTGACTAGATAAGATAATAAATGAGAATGACTCGTTGAAAAGGTTTTTAACAATTTCCTGGTTTTCAATTCAAATACGGAACGCTTTTTATCCCTCTTGTATTAAGCTATTTCATTTTTAAAAATTTCTGTATAAGTGTTGAGATTTTTATTTGACAATATTTCCCTCTTTTTTCTTCTTCTTTTTTTCTTCGTAACTTTCGTTTGACTTCAACTCGATCGCGAGCTTATTAAATACTCGACAAGGATTTTTATAGCAATATTTAATGCAAAAAACTAAGTAAAAGATCACAAAAAGGACTTAATTAGAATAATTTTCGAACAAATTGAAATTTCGGAATAAATAAATAAATAAACTCCCTTTAAGTTCATAAATAAAATTGGCTCTTTCAACATGCCAAATTTCAACTTCGCACTTTTGTCCAAACTCGTAATTTTTTACTACAAAAAAGCTTGTCCCTCGTTTTGGCTATATTTTTTCTTACAGAATTGTATGGTTTTAATAAATTAATATCTATGACATTTTGCGGAATAATTATTATTTTCGCTGCTTTTATTTTGCTCTTAAAGGCCAACTTCAAAATATTCCCCAAAACTGAATCTTCATAAATTATTTTTTCTTACGGACATAATTGATTTAGAGGGAACTTATTAAACCACTCCATACCGAGTATTTTTATTCTTTGAAATCATATACTGCATAGTTAAGTNTTTTCAGAGCCCAAACAATAGACTAGCTCTCTCTACCCTAATATCTCCTCTAAGTTAGGGCCTCAAGAGGTCTTAATCCGGCCCTGCATATACTACATAGTTAAGTACAACTCTTATGTGATTGAGATAAAATAACCTATTCTTCAGAAATACAATTTGATCACTATTTTAGTTCAGTAGAATATAAAATGATATTTCAACAGCTTGCGTATTTCATTTACATCTTTTAAACATAAAATATTATTTGTGTTCTTCCAGAAATACCGATTTAAAGAAGAAGATTATAAAGATGCTTGCGAGGTGGATGATTTTCCAAGAAACATTGTTGAAAGAGCTCAGGATACTTCTGATTCTCCCAGAAAAGTGAGTGCCTTTTAATTGATTCTCCCAAATGGTTTTCATTCTTAAGTTGTACCAAAATAGTGATACGCTGAAAACATTTGGAAGCTTTTAGTCTTTCGGAATAATAGTAAGTTTGAGAAGATTAAAATTTCACTCATATAAGAAGCATTTTAAGGTGAATAACTTCATTTTTCCAATCACTTGAACTTTATCCACCTATTTATGTTTGAAGAATTTTAATCAAAAGATCTAAAAGAATTATATTCGTTTTTCTTACTTTTTTTGTTGATATAATTTATTTTGAAAATTAAGCCTAGCTATTGTGTCGTAGTTGATGGTTTCATTTGCTGTTTATTTACCTATTGTTATTTTTTAATTTATAATAATAATAATATATTCACGCTCCCGCGCCATAGCCCCGGAGGGCTAGATTAAATCATCCCTTAAGTAAGTTGATAAAATGAATAACAAGCATGCTTGGAGACTATTGTGTGCTCGACTGACCACTCAGTCGAAACATCTGCTCCTACACTCCTGAGCCCAGTCTCATGAAAACAGGAATGGACATAGTAGGCCTGGGCTCGCCATGGGCTGTCGCGCCACTGATAGTTTTTAATAAATTCAAAAATTTAATGAACGTTAAACATTATATGCTTATGATTTTTAATTATTATTTAATTCATTGTTATATTACATTAATGCTACATTATTTATTCTTTTAATTTATTGTTATTTTTCTTTCATAAACTACTCGGATAAATCGAAAAATCTTTCCACCCATTTTTGTGCATGTCTCTCGCTATATAGGGTACAATTTTTGCTCTTCGTTCTGATACAGAAGCACTATAATTTTCAGGTGTAAGATCAAGTATTATTTATAGTTAAATCAAATTATGAAACAGTCAATAATGAAATATTTTAATCGTTTTTTATGTACGTGCTTGTTAAAATAAAGTATCCCTCTCTTTCTTTTTTTTAAAATTCCTAATGAATTACAGTGTTTTAAAGATTTTTTTTTCTGTAATTCTTTCTTATATAATTTCAATTAATCATATTTTAATAAGAGTTTAGGATTTTTAATTCATTATTCAAATCAACTTTGTTTCTTACTTCATTGCGCAGTTACAAAAATATAAGCGTAATAAAATAAATTACTTGAATCAAAATGTTTTAAAAAACTTAAATACCTTTTCACAATTCAATATGTAGTGCTGCCATCTTTTGAGATACTTTTGAAATAAAATGCATCTCATTTTAAAAAATAATCTGCATTTTTCAGTATATATATATATATATATATATTTTACTTTACCGCATCACGATTTTTAGGGTCGAGTGACAGTTAAAATACATTTATCCCTCATAAAAAGGCACATTATTTCCTCATCAGAAAACGATTTATTTTAATAAAGTTCAGTCATTCCGCATTCTCTAAACGTAAAGTCAATCGATTTCGCATAGCACCATAACTGATACTTTAATGGGCAAATCTAAAAATTGTCGTAAAAAGTTAGCTCTAAAGCCCGGACAAATCATTCAATGTTTTATGGCAGGGAATTTCGATTGGAATCTTCTCGAAGAGTCTTGCAAGATTTTATATTTTTCTTTGATCCTTTGTTGGGAAGGGGGGAAGATTTCACCTTCGATTGGAAGGAAAACCATAAAAACTTTTTTGTGACTCTGAGTTTGATGATGATAGACGTTTTATAAAAGTAAATGGCGGAAGTATAAGAAAATATATATGAAGAGTTAATTTATTGTATGATGAATTGGGTATTTTAGTTTGGAATATGGTATAAAAAATGGTATTTTAGCAACTTTATTCCGTTGTTTGTTTTTAAAATCTGGGTTTATTATAAATTAGTTATGCAAAATTGATTGTAAAAAAAATGGGATTTCAGCAGCCTCTTTATCACCTCAGCCTTGAGCACAGTGTCTGAAGGGGCACTAAATATATGATATTAATATTTATTTATAACAGTATTATTAGTATTTTATCTGCATTTTTCAAGTTTAATGAAGCATTATTAGTTTGAGATTTAATTAACAATAATCTCTCATTTTCTGTGCATATGCTATATTTATATGAGTAATATAATTCGAATTCGATGTTCTTGCAAATTTACGAAGAAAAAAATGCTGTTAGCATTCATTCTATATAGGATTCATAATTTTAAATTTCTTTATTGTTGGAATAGATAGTATTTTAATAATTTATGTAGGTTTTGTTAAAATTTTGGAATTTTTTTATGAAGTGTGATCTTTTTTAATTCATAATTTTTAATTAAAGAAATGAAAAATAGCACATTTCTAAAAATTGCCCAATGTTCATTATAGTCCATGCAGCTGCACTTAGTTGTGGTTGAAATCTGATTTCTAGTTTTGGTCCTTTTTAAGGTTGCATTTCTATTTTCTATTAAAATATGTTTAAATAAATGGAATTTTTTTTTATATAACTTAGTTTTCTTAACTTCAAATGATCTCCCTGTAAAAGATCAATGCTCATTGTACCGGATTTTATAATTTCCACAAATAAAATCGATACCTAATACGAAAATTATTTTAAAAATTAAACTGTAAGGAGTTAAACTGAGCAAGCTTTAGAACTAAACATAACTTTTGTGATAAGATATCCTTTATCAATAATGCGAGAAAACGGAGAAATTCATTACAACTTATGTAAGAATAAAAGTGGGTTCAATATCGATATTTTTTAACATCGCGATAATGATATTTTAAAATTTATTCTCGAGACATATTTTGAATAGCTCAGATTGCGAGAATTGCCGACACTATTGGGATCCATATCGTTCGTCGAAAAGTGCTTAATGGGATAATGTTGCCGATATTATCGATCAATATCAAATATCGTATTACCGTGAATGTTGATACATTTCATTCGGGTAACAAAAATTTTGGTGAAATGAAAATTTAAACTAAAGTAGCCTAATTGTAAAAATATTGGTATATATCTCGAAATTTCCTGATGATGTATTCTTATATTAGAATTTCGATATAGCCCCGCGTCACTAAGGATAATTAAAAAAAAAAAATATTATTAATCCGTTATGCAGTCACTAAACTGGTTGTCAAATAAAATGAGATGTGAATCAAGACGACATTTTCCTGTTCGCTTATTGAAAAAATTTTTTCGTATCGGGATTTGTTTTTTTTTTAATCATATTTTAATCTCTTTACTGGTTCCAGATAATTTTTTGGAATTCCAAACAATTAAATAGTAAAATAAATAAAATTATTTATAAAAAACTGCGTCTTTCAAGTAGACTCAAAAGAAAAAAAAATTTTTTTTTTTTCGTAGTTGAACGCATCACTTTATAAAGACGTGGCGGGAATTGAGTGTTCGAAGTTAATTGCAGAAGTGATGTGTCCCTACTTTTTTTTGCTTAAAGTTAGAAAGAGAGAAAGAAAATCATCTCATGTTTGGAGTATTAAAAAAAACGCAGTTTTAAAATTTTAATTTCACTTTAACATTTTTTTCTTTTTAGTTTTGTATCAATTTCGGACAGTGCTTAAAAATTTCGAGAAGTGACAGCAAGATGAAGGAAACATATTTATTTGACACAGAGAGCTTCACTTGGAAATGTGAGTCTCAAAAGGGTCGACTATTGAATTGCAAATAAAGATGTAAATAGGACGATAGATTCTGCTTCTTAGTTATTTTCAAACTTTTGGTCGATTTGAAAAATGCGTTGTTTAGAGAGAAACTTTGTCAGTTTGCCAAAGAAACCTTTTGTTTGCCAAAGTGATGACAAATGGTTAATCTGAATATAAATAATAAGTAAGAAAAGAAGTCTACGAGGAACCGCAAATGTGTTTACTTCCATGATTTCAAATCACGCATCGCGATTCTTATTTTCACGATTTTATATCAAAAATCGCGTTTCGCTTTCACGCCATTTAAAAGACGTTATTATGATTTGTGTTCAGTTGACTTCATTATAAATCGGAATTCGTATTCACGTGATTTTAAAATCAAACATCGAGATTCGAGTACTCGTGTGATTTTCAAACCAAATATCGAGATCCGTATTCACGCGATTTTAAAATGAAGTGTCGCGTTTCGCGTGATTTAAAAATCACTCATTGAGATTCACAGAGATGATTGTACTCCGGAAAAATCCGGATATCTGGATTTTTCGTTAACCGCGATCCGGAGGTTTCCGGAAATCCAAGGTCCAGAATTTTCAAGAAATCATCGATAACATTTATGTATAAAAATTCTTGTTCATTTTATTTATAAATATATTAGAACTAGAATTTATACTTGGCATTTCNTTTTCGCTAACCGCGATCCGGAAGTTTCCGGAAATCCAAGGTCCAGAATTTTCAAGAAATCATCGATAACATTTATGTATAAAAATTCTTGTTCATTTTATTTGTAAATATATTAGAACTAGAATTTATACTTGGCATTTCTTTCATTTGTAAATATTTTTTCTTGTAGAATATTACATGTGATTAGAGATAAAAGTAAACCTATACATAATTATTCATTTAAATTATGCTGCATATAATTTATTAAGAATTTCATTTTTGAAAATATCAATGATTTAAATTTATAACGATATTAAATTTTTGAAATTCGTCATTAATGATTTTACTTATAAATATTCCGGATCTTTGACTTGAGCTCACAATCACCCCTGAATTCATATTCACTTAATTTAAATAAATAAATAAAATCTCTCGCATCGATATTTTAATAACACGATGATTAACATTCTTTGGATATATGCTTTCTACATACACTTTTTTTTTCTTGCTCAAATTTCAGATATTTTTTCAATTATTTAAGAAGTGTTTTGACACGTAAAATTTTTGGATTTCTATTTTAAACTTTTTTGGTTTATTACTTCTTAACTCATTCCTGTGGTATGAATAAATGGAAACTAATATAAAAATTAAATATTTTGTTAAAAAATTCGAGATTTTTCGAACTATTTTCCCTAAAATGTTCACTAGTTAAGACTTAATCAATCCGTGGAAAGTATTTTAATTGA